AAGCCTAAATGCATAACCCTAACCGGAAAATCGGAAACCATTAACCGGTACCCTACTCCTAACCTCAAACGTAAAACGGAGGCCAAATGTGTCAGATGTGATTATGGAAGCCCCACAAAATAACCCCGGTAAACAACACCCCCCCTCCCCCGGCCACCTGTAATGCGGGTCCGGGCTACCAACTGCGATCTAGCCCAACTTACATATGGACACAACAAGACGTCACGCCAGAGATAAATGCAGTTGAGAGCTTTGGCTTACTTCACGGCAGACAATGAAAACTGCCGACCAAATTGTGGCCTTTTGAAGTCTCCGGAATGTCAATCCTCCCGTATTTTGGGGAAAAAAGTAACGAGACAATTTACATCTGACACTCTGTAGCTTACATATGGGCAGCTAACTGTAGAAGACAGATTTGGAAGCCATACAAACGTAACATTTAGTATGGCTGCCTGCCTTACAGTAGGGGTTGTGATAAGTATGGTTTTGTCCAGCCACTTACTAGCTTACACGCACAAGTGGCCAGACCTAGAGACACATATCTATCGATCATCAAAAGTAGGGTGTCCAATGTGCGTTTTTTGTGAAATTTTCATATCCATACCAAGAGGGTCATGTGGCTCGAGTTACGTCCACCTACACGTTCAGAAAAATCCTATGAATACCTTGAAAAATCATGTCTTCGGTTATTTAAACCAGTGACTAGTTGAACAACCATTATTAAGTAATCGCCTCTTCCATCAGTTCGGGGTAACCTGTGAATAAAGAATGTCGTGCTTTACGGATTCAGCTACTCTATACAGTTAGTCCGCGATATTTTGAAGGAACCAGCGCTGATATGATTAACGGATTTCGGCTCCTTAATTACCCTACGGTCTCACGTAGCGAACTCAGTTTAGGAATTTAAGAAAATAACTAGGAGCATGAATGGTTAAGCTGGAAATGACTGTAGAATGTGATGAGGAAGTTAAAGAGCAGGCCCAAGGGCGATTGTTGTCTTGAGGCATTCGTGCATTTTAGGCGCTAAATCTGCTTCAATAATGGAATCGCGTTGAAAGTTGACCCTACTTTTGTCGAGCTGCTGCTTCTGCCTGCATTACGATCCTCTGAAGATAAGAAATCACGATACAAAATATTAGTAACCTTATTTCTACAGGGCCTGCAGTTGATTTATCGACCACTGGCCACAAAAAATGTATTAGAAATAGGCACTTCAGTCTCCACTTCTTTGCCGGTAATATTCCTTGCTTAAGGGAACTATTGGGTGGGCATACAAATGTTACATCCTTCGTAAGATGCCGTTTTCTCTCATGGAGCACAAAAATCGTCCTTTTTGTCTACTGCTCCTAAATCGCCAAATTTAGATGATATCCTGGACTACGGAAGTAGTAGTGGACTGTATATGAACCAGTGCGTGGAGTTGGCGGGAGAGATATCCGTTTACGTTTCTCACTCTAAGTTTGCCAGCCCCTATTCTATAAATATTACATACACCAGCACAAAAATTAGCCATTTGAAAATGGCCGTCTTATCTTGATATGTCTCAACAACCCGGCAGTTTTTTGTCGACAAATTGCCTCCAAACTGTCATGATGTAAGTGACTCGTTTCATCAATTTGTCATCACAAGCAGTGGATCATGTGACCATTAGATAGGGCTTCACAGTACGAAAAAATAGTACTACCTACGTATAGGCTTCATTTCTAAACCTCACAACAGTTTCCGGTGGGAGGATTTCATCACTGATAGTTTACGGGTAATTCCCAGTGTTTAAAAATTGCACATGCCTAGACACGATGGCCAATATCAACCAGATGCACCTCACGACCACGCTAGGAATATGCTCAGTTTTTTTCGTGCTTACCCGCATAGGTTGCTACACCGAACATCAGTCTTCTGATAACGAGATCTCACAACCAATGTTTTCCGTTAGAGGGCACCGGGTTACCAGAAAAACTTACATAAAAATGTCATTGTGCATTATCTTCCCTTCAAGTCCAGATTGTCAGGTGGGAGTGTCAATGGAAAGTGCTATAACTTCACTCACGGAAAAGGATCCTGCTTTTTGAATATAGCCCCTATCGTCTGTCAACGTTATCGCATGTTACGAACCTTTTACTAGGCAAGTCTTGTTTTCCAGTCATAAACTCAGCTCCGTGTTTCCTAAGAGACATTGGGTGACATCCGTTCCCGTGCTGGTACTTTCTATTTCTGCAACATAAAATGAGCCTTCCCGGCTGGTCGGTTAACACTGAAATGAGCTTCTAGGTTAAACGAACGAAAGGCGATTTTCTAAATGCCGAATCTGTGACCTTTTTTAAGAAATTGTTCGTCAAATAACGCTTTCGGGTGGCTCCCTGAGGAGTTATCAGAAAATGAAACTGAATTCACGCCCTTGTTTCATTCGCAACAGTGAAACCTGCCCCGTCATAGATTGGCCTCGAACTTCCACTGGGCGGTCTGGTCTAACTTCCTGATAATTGCTGACGCTTTACCACGAATGATCTCCTACCCCCAAATATTCACCTTTTTCAGCACCGTCTTTTCTCTGTCTCGCGGATCCTCGAATCTGACTCTACTGTTGGTCTCTTGGGGCTTCTTCACTGTCTTCAGACTCTCATCGAGTGTCTGGCACGACAGTTTGATAACCAACGAATGTTACGTATCCGCTCTGGAAATAAGCTGGCAGAACCGAATAGCCGCAACGTTCTGCTTCCCAATGCGCCAATTACAACTTCAGTCCTTCTTTCCAGAGGTCAGAAGTCCAGCGGTATTCGGCAGCAGTCCTCCCCACCGGTGGCCTCATCCTCGCGGGCCTTTCAAACCAGGTTCCTCCCTGGTGGCGGAATGTACTCGGACGTGTAGTTCTCGTTCTCCGTATGGAGACAGACATATAGAAACCCTTTGTACAAAACTGCTCTCACGATCCTATATGTCGATGGCTGAAAGTTTATGCATCAGCGCCGAAAAAATGGACAAGACAGGATCATCAGAGGAGCTGTGTGTACTGAATTTGAAAGGACGTTTATTGGGACGGTATATACCTTTTTCCTAATTATATGTCAAGTGAATCCATTGTAAACATCATATTCTGCAGGACATTCATAGCGATGGATTTTAACTTCTGGAGCACTGTGTGCTCCTTACTGACTACTTAAAACAGTATGTCCCTTCGTTGTCTTATAGTATTGTAGGTGATACATGCCACCTCAGGAGTTCAAGAGGATTCCGGCGGCGTTCTGATGCGGTTTGCCCGCTTTAGTTTGTTACCTTGTAAATTACTACAGATGCTGAACGAAGAATTAAAAGTAATTCAAGTAATTTGGGTGCACTATGCCAGAGTCAAACGGCTCCTGATCCATTATTGCACTTTAGTAATAAACTGTGTGCAATGTTTGGAACGCACCTCCTAACTTTAACAAATAAGAAAATAAAAATGTTCGATCAAGTGCCCTGTTAAGACTTTGATTAGGTTGTCGGGTAAGGTTGGGTTAAGATATATTGTCGTCAAAGAAGACTAAATAATACGTTCACCAAAGTTTTTAACGATGACCAAAAATGCTTGAATCCGCGCCAGCTGTTCTTCATTAATATAGGCCCTCTTTTGAGAACCATACCACAAAAAGGTGCTGCGTGCATATTTTTCAGGTCGTTAGTTGAGAGATAACGAAGACTTAATTGCAGCCCGCCTATAAAAATAGCATGTGTTAGACCTGATGAAGCTCTATTAACCACTGCCATTGTTCAAGCAATCAAGGGATGCGACGCACAGCTGACAACCATAACGTAAGACAGAGAGACAAAATATCATAATTGACAGTTATCTCGTACCATCAAAGTACGCTCGTGTTGGTTATCTATAAAGATATTTGCTCTGTGTTCTAAAGTGGATGCTAGACTAAACACTGCCCCGTAGCGCATATTTGTGTCTTTGAACTTATTTGTATAGTTTCTAGGCGTTAAGGTTTTTTGGGCTATTTATTTTTTGGCTTCTGGTGCTAAGCTTGATCCAAATCAGTTTAGACATAAATTTAAAAAAAAACCCTGAACAATCTCATAGTTTCGTTTGCTGTTGGTTTTCACAGTTTGCCTTGAGTTACTTACCACTACTTGAATTTGCACTGCTTTTATTGACTTATGATAAACTTCAACGGCTTTTAAAAATGATGATAGACAACGACAAAAGTTAAAAATGTCACGGCTTTTAGCAGTCTTGTTGTCTCATTTTGGCCGGTTTAAGGAAACCTATTTAAATAACCAACAAATTTCTTTATAAGAGTTCTGATTAACCCTAAACTTTTGGGAGATATCGTTGACAAACAGTTTAATTCTAATTATGACCTTTGAATAGTTTTTGTAAAGTAAGGCGCTAAATACCAGCAATTTATAATGTTTCGCTTGACGCTTGTGTGTTTGGATGCTTATGGTCGAAAAAGGAATCCTTTTCGATAAACATTAGAATTGGGAAAGCATTTTGAAGGGCAAGTTTTTAATGTAACAGATTATTCGGCAAAATACGAGGTTTTCTTATGCGCAAGTCGGACTTTAACACAACTTTGACAAAACATTCGCATTTCTATTTCGAAGAACGAACTACTCCCTAGTAAAATCATGTCTGACGTCGCTCTGCATGGGTTGAACGTTTTAGCGGGTCAAATTTTTGCTATTTTTGGAGATGCTTTTGAAATGTAATTCAGAACAAAATGATTGCTTTCTATTCTGCATTTTCTGAACTAAAACCTCTTAGCTGCGTTCTGAGAATTAAGCTAAGACAAGTGTAATTTTTTATGACAGTCCATAAGCGACTTTTGCAAAAAGGCTCTGAAATGAATGAAAATTATTCATGAAAATGTGTATTTTATCCTGTTCACTTTATTCTTCTGCATGTTTGGTCAAGGTATGCGGAGTCTTTCAGCTTACATCTTCACAAAAATCGCAACATCGGTTCTTTAATTCAGACATTCCAGTCAAAAGAACCACGTATATAGCAGGTTACGGGTTTATGCAGTTGGCTCTTTAGCGCCCATCGAGCTGGCCTCCTTCTGTTTCCAAAAGCTTCCCATGAATAGCGTCATCTCACAGCTTTTCTTTCCAAAATTAAATCGTCTGTCACGTGGGTCGTTCTGCATCTAAGAAATAAGGTAGATTAAAATTCGTATACCCAGTATAAATGCCTCAAAAAATTGAAAGTCAGATGCTAGATGTTACCAAAGTTACCGTCAAAAACTTGAGATAAAACTTCAAATAATTGGTTTTCTGCGTATCTAGTTCATGGTTTTCACAGTCACAGCTTGCGCGTAGCAGACCTACACATTAAGTTTCACGATGCCAGAAGTTCCAACAATCGATTGCATTCGATTGCTCCACTCATAGTCATGGCGACCTCAGTATGTGTCGAAATTTCCTTCACAGCGCAAATTATTGAAAATATGTAACCGGATGAAACATTTATAGTGAAGTGTCAATGCTGGTATTTGCCCGTGTTTTATGCATGCAACCCTGAAAGGGTTGGACCGGTAGGCACAAAGCGAATCGATCCATTTCGTGCGCTCGATACCAAAAGACTTAAAAAGTTTTTCTGTTGTTAGTTGCCCTAGAAGAGTATTCTGCATACGCTTGGTCCGAAATACTGTTAAAAAAAACCGCCAAAAAACTGGCACAAAGAATGCGTTATTTATAATTTACTCTACCTATGAACAGGGCAAAGGCGGAAAAACATGCCTTTGCTTTGGTCAAATTTATTCCACAAAACAACGCCTCGACAACCTATATGTCAGCGACCAAGTTTAGTGCCAGTGTAACTAATATGTAGGTGGCTTGTGGTCTTGTGTTCTAAAACCCGTTGAGATGTTTATATGTTCTTTCCCTCATGCTTCGAAGAATATGAAGGCACCGCTATGACCAACGAAGAATAATTCCTAAATGAGATTAAAAAGCATGCTGATTATATCGAGCTCGGAACGGCAGTTGAAATTTATTTCATAAATTTATTCACACAATACACGGTAGGTCAGACTTAAAAAATAAGCAAGAAAGCAGTCATTCGGTAACACCGGCTCAAACAAAGTACCGAAGGACTAGGCAAGTAAAGCTTACTCTCATCCTTAGCTGAAAATCTTTCACATTTCAGCGTCAGATGCGCATCGCCACTTCAAAAATTCTTTTCTGAATACTCCGTTCCCTCTTGTTGAGTGCCTTGTTTTTTCATTAAAATCCCATGAAATGCCTTACGACTGTTTAACGATATCGGCCTTAGTTTAATTCCTGTCTTTGGTACAGTTTACCCTCTACTAAACCGGGTGGTGTTGGAAACAAACAACTTTATATCGAAGAAGCACATTTCTAGATCCGCAAACGCATCGCATCTTGCTTTTATTTTCTTAATTGCCCTCTATGAATAGCTGTTAGAATAAAAGCTGAGTTACTCGCGATTTTTTACTTCATACTGCAGTAAATCTTTAATAAGCGGCCTCTGGCGCAAATAATTTGACGGCAATCCAATAAAGGTAGGAAGTGATCTCATCAAAATTTACTCTTTGAAAGAAAGTCGTTTCTATTTTATTAAACTACGCGGAATACGCGTGATATTTTGGTAATATCAAAGAACGCCAACATACGAACTATCTCTCAGCTGCTACTGAAGACAGCTATGTTCCGTCTTGTTACAAATATCTTTACCAACAAATGAATTACTTAAGCCTGCTTCTTCGTAAAGCAAGAGGACCGAAGGGGACTTTAATCATTGCATTTGGACTCATTATTGGGAGTTTATGACTCAAGGATATCTTCCAGAGCATTATGTAAGAACCACAAAGTCATGTAGATCGAACAATATCCTACGCGCCGTGTTTATGGTCTTTAAACGAAAAGCACTGAAATCTTGAGCTGAACCACTGACTAAATTGTGCTGAAGCGGGATCGTCCACTCATTTCAGGCAACACTTTACCCTCTCAATATGATCACTTAAATTTGTTCGATGAGGTGTTTTTGTATTTCACACTACCAAATCTCCTCCTGAACTGTAGGTTGATCATTAATTCCCCGTGACATCTTACTCCGAATTTTGTGCACAAACGCACCCGTGGACTTGCTAATTTCTTCATTGCAGTAATTCGACAGATTTCTCCCTATAGGATGAACTCACCATGGTCACAAAAGAATAATATTATTCTTTTGAACTATATAGTTCAGTTCACGACACAAAACGTTAAATCCATAGTGAATTGGGCTTCAGAAACCTTTTCTAAGAGAATATGCTTGTAATAACTATAGTCATTGATTACCTTAGTTATTATTAATAACGATCGATCGTCCACTTGAGTGGACCTTCCCGAACTATAGTTCGAACTATAGTAACGAACGAAGAATTAATTAAAGAATTTATGCATAAACATGCAAACTCCAACTAACTAGAGGTACAGGTATCCACCCATATTCTTGATTAACCGTTTGTGGTTCTTCATGCACCTTCTTGGGCTCTAGGGCGGCACGATTAATAACCTTCAGGAAGTGTTCTGTGCAAAAGCGTTCAATAATGTAACTGTCAAACCATCTATCTGTCCAACTTCTGAACGGGCATTCGGTTTTCCCGTTAATACGCAGACTATATTTGTGTTAAATGCAAAAGGCGTTTGAAAATTATAATACTTTTTTTAAAGGGGTTTATGCCAAATTTAGTAAACAATTTTTGGTAACGGAGTTCTTTCGCAACCGTCTCCGCTTGAATAGTTTGTTGATGAACGTAATTTATTTCTTCCACATTTTGTGCATCAGCCATACTCACCGCGAATTTACTATCCTGAAAATGGTTTGCAGCAAAGGATCCTACATAAGCGAGAGATTAAACTCGTGTTTGAATACTTGTTGTAAATCTTCGTTATTCGTTGTGATGGCAACACTAGCTGAGGTACAGAGACAGGATGGGTACGGTGCAGTAAATTCGTAGACATCGAAAATTGGGAGTTTTAAATCCATGGTCTTGCAACACACTGCGGTGACCGGAGACCTGAAACATAGCACACACCGAGTCAGCAAGCTGGAGAGTTGTCAAACGCATCGTCATTCTCATCCAAGCAATAATTTCTATTCCTCTTGCAAGGAGAATGGAAGATTTAAACTGCTAGAAATAGGGATACTAGAAACCGGAACTTCGATAAATCGGAGAGTAATGACTGGCACAGGGATAAATGGAGCTACAACAGGTAAGACAGTCCGTCTAGCTGGACAGGTAGCGTCAGCGTGTCTGCTAGACAACCTGTGGGAATGGCATCGCTGTGACAGCAGCAGTGGAGGACCGTCGGAGGTGCCGGCGTAGAGCGGGAGACAGAGAGGGAGAGATAACGTTGCGATGAGTTACGGGGAGGGTTCGGGCTATAGAGGGGGAAGGCACCGACTATTTTCAGCGACGCAAGATTGCATCATCCCCACCCTGGATCCGCGCAAAGTGTTCACAACATTCAAAAAACTGCGCAATTCCTGGTCCGTTACATCACCAAAGAACTGACTTAGTTGCTCAGAAGGAAATAAGTCGCTTTTTGACGCAGACATAGGATAAGGATGGTGATCGAGTGGCGATAAAGATGTCAGTGACCTTCACCTGCAATACCAGACTCCCTTACCCCGCAATCGACATTCGCACCAGACATCATTATCTCTCGCACGATATCCGCAACTTCCACAATCCTCCCCTGCAGTAGCTGCTAGCACTTCACTCCCAACGGTAGTCTAACGGACATATAGAGATCATTTCCCACGTTAGACGCTTTGATTATACATGAAACGTTGCTCCCCCAAATACTGCTGTATTCCATCTTTATGATTCAATCCGATTACATCTTCTAACACTATTTTCATACGTTTCAAAAGCTTTTCTTAATAAATTTATGTGTACGTGTTTGACAAGAGGTTTAGTCGCTCAGGGCAACACTTTCGTAGCCGGAAAACTTCCCCCGTGTTCTATGTCTAGCCGAATGTGTCGCTCTCAACATCGGCGACCGCTACAATCTCACATATAACATAAGGTACTATGATTTCACACCGGGGCAGACTACTGCAGAATCTAGTGAACTCTAAAACGAACCCCTTGGGGTGTGGCAACAGAGGGGCCCACTCGTAACCATTTATACTAATCAGAAGTAAACAAACTGACGGTTGAATCTACCTATGTCAGTAGGTCAGTATATTTTAAGGGTAATAGGCAATGGCTTTGAAACCCCTATTGTAAACTATACATGCAATATCTAACTTTAAAACAACCATGGTACTAAAATGTTGTCAGTAATATTTACATTTAACAGAATATTTCTCTTACAAATGCACGACCGAAACTCAAGAACATTCAGTTGTAGATGATTTCGGTAAAATGAAATGACAGTCATCCACATTTTCGGTAGGTGTATGCAATTCGTTGGTTTGGCACAACAGAGCTGTTCTGTCCGGACAAGCGCTAATTTCCGAGCTAATATACATCTAGTCTTTGCTTGAATGTCTCCGTGGAATCCGCCATTATTACGTCCTTGGGAAGCCCGTTCCAGGCACCGACGACTCGCTGTGAAAAAGAGTATTTGCGAACGCCCAGGCGGCATCGGGATCCTCTAAGTTTTGGAGGGTTCCCACGCAGGTTTGTTGTTGTGGCCAGGATGAAGAACTCGTCAAGGTTTAGGGCACATTCCCGGTTCCTCAATATCCGATACACCTGGATGACATCTCCTCGGAAGCCCTCAGAACTTCTACGTCGAATGCGTTTTCTCCATGCAGCCATGCAGGTTGACGATACATTCGACAGGGAGGTGTTTCTAGAGCGTCTGCCTGCAGATGTTCAAACGATCCTGGCGTCCGGTTCTCAAGATCTCACGATCCCACAGCTGGCTGAAATGGCGGATCGAATGATAGAAGTGCAGCGGTTCTAGTCGGGTTCCGTTGCCAGAGCTCCACATCCTCATCGACGGTGAATGAGCATTTAATGAAGCAGGTGTCGGCCATGGCGGATGAGATGGCCTCCCTTAAAATACAGCTGGCACGCCTTACTTCCAGTCGCTCACGCAGCCGTCGTCGTTCCCGTTTGCGACCTCGGACTGCCGATACTTGTTAGTATTACCCTAACTTCGGCATAAAGGGCCGTTGATGTTCCTCACCCTGTTCTTTAAGCCGACACAGGGAAACCACTCAGCTAGAGAATAGATGCGACCGTTTTCTCTTGTTCTAACGGCTCTGGCCACACCTTCTTTGTGTGCGACACTGCGACTCGCAGACGTTTCCTTGTGGATACTGGGGCCCAAATCAGCTTTGTTCCCCCAAATCCAGCCGAGCGTCGTGTTCCCAGCCCTGGTCTTCACCTCCAAGCTGCCATCTGTTCCCCCATCCCCACTCTTGACAGCCTGTTTCTCACCCTGAACATTGGTCTTCGTCGGTCATTCACCTGGATCTTTGTGATTGCTGATGTCCCTCATGCAATCCTCGGCTCGGACTTTCTTGCCGAGTTCAATCTCCTTGTTAACTGCCGGCGCGCGTGTCTCCTCGACGGCACAACCGATCTGCCTGTTCGTAGACTAACTTCCTTGATTGTTCCACCAAATTATTTGTCTTGGGTACAGATATTACTAGCCCCATTCGGCAACTGCTTCTTAGACACCCCAAAATAATCAACTCCCGGTTTTGCAGTGGTGAGGTCCAATATGATGTCCTGCACTATATCCGCACCTCAGGTCCTCCCGTGCTTGCTTGGCCGAGACGACTAGCACCGGAGCGTTTCCAGGCCGCGAAGGCGGAGTTTGAACACATGCTGCAACTGGGAATAATTCGAACGTCCGAGAGCCCTTGGGCATCACTGCACATGGTGCCCAAGGCGACATCAGGCGACTTGAGACCCTGTGGCGACTATCGTGCCCTCAACAGCGCCACCATTCCTGATCAGTACCCCGTGCCTCATCTTCAGGACTTTGCTGGAGCCCATTTCGGCAAGTCAGTTTTCTCGAAGATTGATTTGGTGCGTGCTTTTCATCAGATGCCAGTCGCCCATGAGGACATTCCTAAAACCGCCGTCACCACACCCTTCGGTCTCTTCGAGCTCCTCCGCATGCAGTTCGGTCTTCATTATGCCGCCCAAACGTTCCAGAGGACCATCAACCATGTCTTACGTTGCCTACCACATGTGTACGCCTACATTTATGACCTCTTGGTGGCCAGCCGGAATGAGGAAGAACACGAGGAGCATTTTGTCTTGCTGTTTGACGGCCTTGACAAGTTTGGCGTTGTCATCAACCCCTCCAAGAGCGTGTTGGGCATGCCTTCGCTCGAGTTCTTCGGCCATCAGGTCGACCCTGAAGGTTTTTGTCCCCTCCCCTCCAAGGTTAACGCAGTTCGTTATCTCTCTCCACCAACTTCCAAGCGTCAGTTGCAGCGATTCCTCGGCATAGTCAATTTTTACCACCGTTTCCTTTCGAACTGTGCTGACCTCATGCTGCCGCTCACCAACATGCTTTCTGGTTCCAAAGGCCCCATCAAGCTGACCGGTGAAGCACTGATTGCTTTTGAGAGAATCAAGAATTCCCTTGTCGACGACAACTTACCCTCACATCCCGCTCCCGAAGCTCAGCTGCCGCTGATGGTAGATGCTTCGACCGTAGCCGTAGGTGCAGTCCTTGAACAAAACCTTTCTTGTTCGACTCGACCACTTGCTTTTTTCTCTAAAAAGCTCTTACCAACTGAGACACACTACAGTACCTTTGGCCGTGAACAACTTGCCATTGATTATTATTATTATTATTATTATTATTATTATTATTATTATTATTATTATTTTCTGAGCTCCAACTGGGACTATTTTGACGTAGATACCACTTCACAGTTACCGTCTCTGAGGTTGCCGCTGGAACTGTACGTACCAAATTTCTTTCTGCGTCTCTGGAAATTTTTTTCTCTCGTGGAAATTTATCAGAAGTCTGTCTCTGAGCGGAATTTGTTTTCCATCAAAATCCAACGGGCTACGGAGTCGATTCGCGCGCAGATATCGGCCTAGAAAAACAAAATCGTTGACTCCCAGGAAGATCGGGAGTTATTCAGGGCCTTCGATATTCTCAAAACGGCTGAGTCGCTCTGACATATATTTCATACCGTTCATATTTTTTATCAACATCGATTTTTTAAAAAATAGGCGTATTTTCGACCATTTGATTTCGAATATTTGCCATACTTCATCGTATACAGTCGTAATTACCAGTTTGAATCTCGAAAGCGAATATAACTTACGAAAACACGAAACTCATGGACACAGAGCAACTTTTTGGTAGTTCCACGAACAGGACCGGCATTATTCACGAAGGAAAGTCTATTGACATGACCTTGCCTCCCAGGATTAGCGCTCGCTCTCTTTATAGTTGCACTCAGGGGCCCGCAAAGCGCGCTAAAAGCGTAACCACAGCAAAATCTGTTAGTTACGAGGACGAGCCATGCACTGGGTGCTCCTTTATTCTGTTGAAAATTCAAAAACTTGAAAAAGAGCTGGCTGCATTAAAAGAACTCGTGCAAGCGAACGATGGTAGGCAAAACTCGGTTAACAGCGCTAGAGTCAGCAAGACAAAGGGGGAGAGCAAAACTCCAAAACAGCCAAAAAAACAAGGTTTGTGGTAAACCTCAGTGCAAGGACGCCGATACTAATGACGGTGGGCAAACAGCAACGGAGTCTCCTGTTTCTACGGAAGACAGCCGAAGCGAACCGTCAACTTCTCTCAGCCATTCCGCGTGTTCAGTAGTACCTCGGTTGGAAGTGAGGAAACGAGCTCGTGGCAAGATGGAAGGGGTAAGCACCACAACAGGAATATAAAACCCCAGACGACTCCGGTGGATCTCCTGAAACCTTCAGCTGACAAGGCCGCCGGAAACAGAACAAATGGACCCCTGGATCGTCAGCACTGCGTAGTCGTTCAGGGCCTATCGGAGTCGAATGCGCCTATACCGAAGGAGAGGATTTCCGCTGACCTCGATATGCTTCAACACCTTCTGAACAAAATGCTTAATTCGAATGAAAGGGTAACTATTCACGCAGCCTACAGGATCGGAAAGAAGGTGAGCGACCAATCGGAAACTGTGCGGCCACGACCTCTGAAAATCGCTTAGGGCAGTAAAGAGGAGGCTAGCTTACTTTTGTCCAGGAAAAGCTGCCTCCGAAACTCTCACAAGGAAGTTTTTTTTCAACCGGACTATTCTCCAGCGGAACGTCTGAAACGCCGCGAATTAGTGACGGAGCTGAAGAGGAGACTTGCAGCAGGAGAGAGCAACTTGGCGATTTTCAGGGACGAGTGATACAGAGGAATGCGATGTTGCTTTGGAACCAGCCAGTCATCATGATGGCGGCAGCAACATAATATTGTCAAGCCCGAGACAAACCGAACGAAGTACTGTCGAATGTTACAAACTTAAATTCTTTTACACTAATGCTCAGAGTCTGTTTTCCAAGCTTGATTAATTGAGAATACAGGTAGCCGATACTCCTCCCGATGTTATAGCAATAACAGAAACGTGGCTGTCAGAGAATGTGGGTGATTGCGAGGTAGCACTAACAGGATACCAATTGTTTAGGAGAGACAGGAGAGGCCGCCGGGGTGGAGGAGTTGCCATGTATGTAAAGAGCAAGTTAACAGTGTGTAAGAGGACGGACAAGATTTCTAACGACACAGAGGCAATTTGGCTGACTATAAAGGCACGGGGGTCTCAGTCCCTCGAAGTCGTAACTATCTACCGGCCCTCTCAGGCGGATCCCGACTCAGACACTTGTCTACTGGAAGGCATAAAAGAGATCGCCAGTCGACCAGACGTTGTTCTCATGGGGGATTTTATTGCACCCTGCATTCAGTGGAGCGATATGCATGCGAAGTGCTCGAAGAATGCCTTCGATTACCGTCTACTAAAGACAACCCTAGAAGCTCTTCTCACGCAACGTGTCCCATCTCCAACTAGAGCACGTGGAGGGCAACAGGCTAGTTGTCTGGACCTCGTCTTCACCAAAGATCCTGACAGTATAGACGAGGCGTACTACCTATCCCCGCTCGGTCGAAGTGATCATGCAGTACTTTTCTGGGAGTACGAGCTGTATTCTGAACCATATAAAAAAGAGGATACGAGGCCGAATATATGGAAAGGGGACTTTTGCCAAATGAGAGGTGAGGCATCACAAATAGACTGGGATGTCCTCTTCTCCGGAAACGTGAACGAGGACTGGAATTTATTTAAGGGTTGGTTATTGCATCTAGTGAAGAGCCACTGTCCCGTATCAAAGCCTAGGACATCCAACCGCCCCCAGTGGCTAACACGAAAGCTAAAAAAGGAGATCAATAAGAAAGGAAGATTGTGGAAGAAATTTCAGGAAAACAACAACATCGCAGCGTTTACAGAATATAAAGTTCAAAGAAATAAGGTGAAAAGCCTGATTTTCAAGAGGCGACGGGATTTTGAGAGTAATTTGCTTCATCGAGCCGTTAAAAATCCGAAATTGCTCTACAGCTATTTGCGGAAGAGCACACGTAACAGGAATCCCATTCCTGTTATGAGGGGTGATGACGGTTTGGAGATATCGGACAGTAAAAATAAAGCTGAGCACTTTTCTCAATATTTCCAGTCCGTTTTCACAGGGGAAGCAGACTTTATTCCCACTAGTTCCGAGAACACGGGAGATC